ATTTCTTCTAGGGAATTTTCGGGAGGGGCGGGGGAGGAGGCGCGCACTCCGCGACGACGCGATTTATGCACGCTATTTCCTCCCGGCTTCCTCGCCAAGTTACTACTGCAGTGCGCACCGAATCTCGAGTTGTTACGTATCTATTTTATTTATTAGCTTCCCCAATATCTCTATTCCCTTCAGTGGAATTCTATCTAACTGCCGGATCCCTTCTCTTCAAATTGCGAATGATGGATAAAGAACGCATTTCAGTTCATATCCGCGCCAAGTTTTTCCTTTTGTTAATATAAATTTAATTCGGGCCTCATTAAAATTGAAAAAATAGCTTGGAATGTTAATATATACTCGTGGGTATAATTGCATTTATCAAATTCGTAATTAAAAAGTTTTGCTTGGAACCAAATTTATCTCCGCGAAAGTAGGACGTAGCTATCAAATTATAAACCAAGTATTGCAGCAGGGTGAAATCTAATGCATATTACGAGAGGTTTAAAGCAAAAATCATTGAATTCTTTCGTATCGTCGCGATCTTATTGCGGTTTTCTATTCCTGAGAAAATCTAGGTTGACTAACGAAGACTCATAGTTGAAAATATTCGTGCCAAATTGAAACGGAGATCGGTAAATCGGCCACTACGGATTCGATTCCATTGGGGTATATTTCTGGACTGTGAGCCAGACTTTGCCCTCGTTCCTCATTCTGAACCCCTTAAGTAAAACTTTATTTTCTGCTTGGTTGCAGGTGTAATTTTTCCGAGTTCTCTCACGCACGAAACGGAAATGATTCATCAGAGATTAATGAAGCGTATACAAATTCAATAATGAGATCTTAATTGAATTATTTGTCGAGCTTGCAATGCAAATGATATGTTTTCTATCATATACAATATATACATTGTACATATATTTCTATTTTGATACATACAATGTTATATATAAAATATATTGAGAAATATATTTGAGAATTGCGCGGAAAGTGCTGCAGTTTTCAAATAGATTTCTCGATTATGGTTTTTCTCATGATACGCGCATACACCGCATTGAAGATACATTGATGTATTTTCCGCATGCGTGTGGTTCGATTTGTATCGGAAGTAAGAATCTCCAACACTATAGATGCACTCTGTAGATGTGTGCACAAAACTCACGTCCGAACTTTCTATCCCATAGTGGTAGCGCCGTAACGCTAGACACGAAAGCGGAGCACGAATTTAGTACCCGTTGTCAAAAGTTGCACAATATCCATGCTGCCACTTTGCCAACGAGTAACTCGACAATACGAGAGTTTGGCGCGCACGTTCGGGGTTGCGCATAGGTCGGGAAACATTAAATTCAAGCGACCCTTCCGCGGTGCAGATTACCGCCGACTTGCGTTCCCGTATATAGGACGACGTAAATTTGCGGGAATGTTCGGTAGGCCGCGTTTACATCGGTGTTTACAATTATATCTGGCGGGATATTAAGAGACGACGTAATAGGGCAAGGCCGATGAATGATGACCATTTGGCCATTATTCATCGTCCTGCCTCCGCTATCACGAAAGCGTGAACTAGGCAGAATGGAAAGACGTGATTTAATTTTGCGCTAGCGAGATAAGATCGATTACTACGATACGATACAAACAACGTTACTATTACGTAGTAATTCGGATTTACAGTTAAGTTTGATCTAAATGTGATGTCCAAAAACGGAATCTTAATAAAATTATGTGCAGTAATATTCATGCACTGAGAAAAAAATAGCCTAAATTTAAATAAATATTTATTTAAATACTGTCAATTAAACATTTAATTACAATAAATAAATATTTACTTAATAAAAAGAAATGATTGTTATATCAAATTAATGTTTTTTGTATCAAATAAATAAATTTTTATATATTTAATAAATATTTAATTGGTACTATTCAAATAAATATTTATTGAAATTGAAGATATTTTTTTCTCAGTGTAATATCTACAAAAATCGTGGAAATTTTTGCCAATAAAGACCATATATAATTTTTTACAATAAATATCGTGACAGATAATATTAATACAATTAAGAAAATGCCACTATTTTTTTTCAATAAGATTTATAATTTCTTCCCGTAAGAATTTAAGTAGTAACGGATAGCTATGCGACGGCGCGTGTAAGTAGGGAATTCGCCGTATAAAGAAATCAATTTTTCCTCGCATTAAGGATCCGGCACATCGTTAAGAGAGTTTCCCATTTATAATGTAGGCGAGTGTACCAAGAGAAAAAAAGAGAGGAAACGAAAGAAAGAGAGGGACAGAGGGTGAGAGTACTGATAATGGAAAAAGCGTTGCGGATTAAATTGGAGGCGGAAAGTGTGCGTGGAGCGCGGCATTAATATACCATGCATACGCCATTACAACATTCCCCGATGTCCACGCGTTACAACACGTTACTACTATTACTACCACTGCTATATTGTCACCACCGTCCATTACGTTCAGTGCCGTACTCCTCGCGCGTTTGATGGGGAAGAATCCGGTCGTCCGTTCGTTCCTCTACCTCGTAAATCATCGCGATGGGCATCCACGTAGGTCACTGGATACGTCGGTGAAATAGCGACGGGATGGACGAGGGTGGCTGGACAAGGATGGGAGAGCACGAGGAGAAGAAGAGCAGCCGTTCCGACGAGAGATCGTGATTTTCGAAGCGGATGTTCGAAGATCGCCGCGACCCAGATTATAGTAATGACCACTAATACATCCTCCGGAAATTGACGAATTATATTGGCGAGATTAGTTTTATTTCATAGGAGATCTTTATACCTTTCGGAATGGTTTCTCGTCTGCGGATTTTATCACTGACTATTGTCCACGGAGTTTCAACGAGATCAATTTTCAGTTTATAACCTTTTGATGTTTCTGATGTGGAATTATTTTACTAAAAGTGACATCGTTATTACATTGGTTTTTCACTCTTTCAAAAGATGCGGTAACATAAAACAATTAATATCAAAGGAAGCTTCATATAAAAAAAAATTTTTTGTCGGCTATTTCTCGTATTTATTACTTTTCTATGTTTTGAATTGCTTCCTATATTCATTTTTCATACTCTCTCGCTAAAAAAAATAGTATTTATAAGCATTGCTGTTGAATAAAAATATTATTGTACATTGAATATCGGCGATCTCTTCTCGTTCAATGTCGCTTCGCGTTCTATGAAGAGATGCCCCTCCGGCTGGAAAACGGCTCGCATTATGTCAACGCGGGAGGATGATGATATAGACTACTTCGAAAAGTGCATTACCGGCATTTCTCGCGTTTGTTCCCCGCCCCGGGCTTATTTATCGCTCCAGGGGCTAAGTCTCGCTGGCTTCAAGTCTCGCAGCTGCTGTCTGTAATGGAGTTGCGTATACCGCCGTCATATGTGGAGCAAGAAGTTGGGCGCGATGGGGAAGTAGTAGCCGACTCGAGAACAGACGTGATGGAGGGGTGAAGAACCTCGAGAAAAAGTAAATACTCTGTATATCGAGCGTACGGAAGATGCACGGGGTGAAACGCAAAAAGGGCGAAAGCACGTTTAGGGGAGAGGGTGGAGGAGAAGGAGGGAAAGAGTATTACTCGGGAAACGCACGGGATGACATGTGAAATGATACGAGAATATGTGACGTGCCAACTGATATCGTGCGGAAGTACAAGTAAGGAAAGATGCGACGATAAAACAAGGAGAAAAGAGGATCGTAGAGAGATACACGCGGAAATAACCCGGGACATTATCGTGGTAGAAGAAACCGGACGACCGAGACGACACTTTGATGCATGGAGGGTGAACGCGAATGCGAGTACGGATCAGAAAGAAATCCACTCTCACGGGTCGCAAAAATCCGTCGTTCGAAAAAAAAAGTGCGAACGCAAGGTTGCCGCTGTCGTGTGAGGTGAGAGGTCGAAGGAGAGAATTCGCGCGACCGCTGACACCCGTAAGTGGAGTGGCAGCGGGTGTAATAAGAAGTAAACGAATGGGGAAAATCCAATTGAGGGGAGCCGCGACCGCGCGGGCGAGGAAAGAACGCGAGTTCCTGGGGAAAGGGAAGAGCGAGATGGTGCGAGCGAAGGAGAGGGTACGAGAGCGCATCGCGAAGAAAAAAAAAGGAAGAGAATAAGAAGACATGCGCGAGGCGAGAGAAGCGTGAAAAGCGGCGCTTAAGGCTTAAGGGGCACAAAGACAGCGACGATTTGCGCGCACAGTTAAGAAAAATGAAAAGAACGCGAAGATAAATAACATGGATGGAAGGAGAGAAGGAGAGAGAAAAGAGGCTTAAACACGGTAGAACTACACGAACAGTCGACGGTTCTGATCGCTCCAAAGAGTGAAACTCGCTCCTAAGAGGAAAACGGGACGAGATAAGTTGGTAAGGGATGATCGCGCGTAATTCAGTCTGAGCAAAAAGGTGTGAACGAGATTGCCAAAATACTACGGAAATATTATAGGAAAGGGGGATGGGAGAAACCGCGAATAACGAAGAGTCAGGAAGCGCCGTTCTCGGAGGTGGGACGATGAGAGGAAAGAGGCGAAGGTAGAGGTCCAGAAGGACAACGTAGAGAGTTCAGGATAATGAGAGAAGAAGATGACGTGGAAAGAAGCGGCGAGTGCGACAGAGAGAAATAGAGTGGGCATGCAGGGGGGGGAGGAGGATGGAGGGCGAAGGGGTTGAGGACAGTGGAGGAGCGCCACGTTGGAGTTGGAGGTACGTTGCGAGGCAGTAGGAGTGCTCGAGCGCGTAGGAAGGAGGCGGAAAAGGGTGAAGAGGGACAGACCGAGTGAGGAGTGCGGAGATAGAGTACGAGTTGGGGAGGAAAGAGAGCGGAGGGGGCAGGGGAGAGGGCACGTTGAGGGAGGGGGTGGGGTGACGTCACGCCCGGTCGATACTCACTCATACTACTCCTCCGCGTACGGCGACACGGTAACCCCCCGGCGATGGCGCACGCGCGCCTTTTACCCCTTACCTTGTACCGCCGACACTCGTACTCGCTCCTGAGCGCCGCTTCCCGCCATATTAGCCACCATGGGGTAGGCGAGGATGTGCGACAGGGGTAACACGGGGTGCTTCTTCTTCCGCAAGGTAATCCATGCGTTTTCTCGCTCTCTCTCTCTTTCTCTCACTCATTCTCGTTTCCGCATTCTCCGTTTGTCTACTTATCATTCTCTCACTCTGTCGCACTCATTCCCTCATCGGACACCTACCTAACCGTCCTACGCGCGCCCTTTCGCACCATTCACCGGTCACGTGAAACCGAGAAGGGACTGGCGATCTGCACTCGAGAGAGAGACAGGTCATAAGAGAGGAAGACTGGCCAGCGTCTTGTTGAACTGGTGCTCTGGCCGAGGACAACTCGGAGCTCGGAGCACGTATGGGACCGCCGCGAAGGGGTAGCGCGACACGCGCGGCGGCGTTCACCCGGCAGACGGGTGAGACCGAGAGGCGTAAAGAGAAGACGGACGGAGCACGGGGGTGGTGGGCTACCGGCAGGAAGGGCGGCAAGGAGCTCCAGGAGCCGCCACCGCCGTCGGCGAGCGAAAGGGGCTGCAAATCGGCTGCGGCAGCGTGGATGTCCCTGCTGTCGCTCTGCGACCGGATGTGCGGCACCGCCGCGTGGCTCGTTCCGGTCACATGCCTCCGCGGGGTGCGTTTTTCCCACGGTTCACCTTTTGTGCTACTTCTTTTCATCGGGCGACGTTGCAAATGATTATTAAGCTGGCAGGTGGAGAATGAGCTCGCGATCTATTTTACAGCAAAAATCTTATTGTTAATCCCTATACGAGCGAATAATCTCCCTCGTATTTCCTGGCATCGCAGTTAACGAGTGGGCGCGAGGATTTACGGTGATGTTCGTGACGTTAGCGTGACAGGTGGATGAGCTCGTTCGAAGCTCGATAAGCTCGTGCTTTTTTCTCGATAGTCTCAGTGAGATACGAATCCGGCTGAAATCACGGTCAACGAGCTCGGGGATTTACGGCTGGTGCTTGTGCGTTGTCGAAGTGACAGATTGATGAGTTTCCGCGAGACGCCGCGTGCTTCGTTAAGAGCCCCCTCCTACCCTTAAAAGGATCATGATGGGACCTTACATTTACATCGCATTTGTCTCGAATGAAAAAGCGCTATTCTAGATAGTTCACCTTCCCTGATGGACCTCATATTCGGTCACTTTATTACGGCCCTCATAATTGGGTTAATGGAGATGAACGTGAGATATTCCAGTAAAAGCAGAAGTTAAATGTGTACGACTTTTGTCACTTGCTTTTATTAGACGCATTTAATGGAAATCTTATTGATCGTATTAATAATTAATGATTATCAATTTGAATTTTTTATTCCTCTATGAATAATTTCTTCTTAATACAGTGGATCGAAATTATTACAAAATTTGCTAATAGAATTTGTTGGAAATATTTATGAAAAATATCCGTTATCTCCATTTTGATTACAATCAGCGACTGCAAAAATATTTACTTTAGTACACTGTACTTATGCTCGCAATATTTCTACGTCTTTGAGAGAAATTAGAAGCTTTACTTCTTTTACAAGCTTGTGAATTCGCTTGCATAAAATATCTTCAATTTAGGTAATGTTAATTAATAAGATAAGATCTTTTTTAATTACTTAAATAATCCTTTAATTAAAAGTATTCAATTTGCAAAACAAGATATACTTAAACAATTGATATCCCTATTTAGCATAAATCTATTATTGGTTTTAACTATCATTATAATCACACAATCTTCTAAATCATTATAATTCTATATGATGTAAAATGTGAGGTAGCCAAGTTATGTAATTGTCAATGGAGTATGTGACATGTGTAGCTGACCTGTGACGTATGTAGTTTGGTTGCTGTGGTTATCATTGATCTAGACTCTGACTAATCCTCTTTGAAGGGATGCCTGGACATTCAAATTTTCTCGATATTGCATGTCGCGTTATATTTCGACAATGCGGAAGGTACACGTCATTTTTTCATTTGTCGTCCTATTACGTAATAATCAATTGTATAATCACTTTAGAGTCAGCTGAACGGCGAAAATAATCAGTTATTGTTTTGTAGGAGGGCCGGGGGGAAGTGACAGACATAAGCGCAAGTCCTGGGAGGCAGGCACCTGCCAACCAGTTGCGCCCCAAGGAACCACCCCCCATGGTCATTCAAGGAGACTTCAGGAAGGTAGTGGCGACACTTCATTAACTCGTTGCCGACACAATGGACGAATTTAGAGCTCGTTGTGTCGACAAACTTCAATTGCCGGACAGCATGACGATGGATTCCGACACCCGGGACCCTATTGTGTTGCTCGTGAAGCTGTCTCGACGACTGGTAGAAACGTATTGGCGTGTGCTTTAGTCGCCACGCATTGTTCACGTAATCTGATCGCTATTATATTAAACATGCCAAATTTAAATTAAACCATTCCGTTTTCAATCTTTGCATTGAAACAAGCAAAGTGAGGATAAAATATAATAGCGACGTCTTGTCAGAACACTATTAATAAGGAAAAAGGTAGCCAAATATTTATTTTTGTGTACATATGCTTGTTTTTGGAAGTAAAAAGATCTCATTACATTAAGATTTTATATTAACGAAATTAGGGCTGCATTCCGTAATTTACTGTGAGTACTGAAATTCTATAGTTCACGTTATGTGTACGTATACTATAGATTTTTAGTACCTACAGTGAATAACGCAGTTTATATTTTAGTTATTTTTTACATTTCTCTACACTGAAAAAAATGATATTATATTAATAGCATTATTTTAATTGAAAATAATTTTGTTGATTCACGATAACAGTATTAATGAAATCAATAAAAAATTTTATTAAAACAACAACACATAACGTATTTGTTCCATTAACATTGTTATTGTATTAACAAAATCATTTTTAATTGAAATAATGTTGTTGATATAACATCGTTTTTTTCCTGTGTATTTATTATTTATACGAGAGATCAATGTATTATTTTTATATATTGTTTAAATGTTTGCACGATAGAAATAATTTAATAAATAATAACAAAAGCATTGTTTTGCGTCGAGACAAATTCATCGATCCACACAAAAATAATGATAAAACATCGCTACGCATTCTTTGAAACGGAAGGATCTATCGTTGCAGGTGAGCGGGATCAGTACAGAGATCTTCAAGCAGATCGAGACTGTCGAAAACGATCATGACGCATCGACAGCGGCGGCCCTCGAAGCTGTTGAGCGGAGAGGCGAGATGGTCGTGCGTGTCATTGAGCCTCGGCAAATGGGTAGACAGGCTTCCGAGGCGGCGAAAAAATTTATTGCTATGCAGGTACGTTATCGATGGGCCGTCTGTTTCCGACAGATTGTGATTCATTTGCATTCGAACGTAATATCTTGTCATAAATTAGTACTACGCGCAATTCTTTCATTACAGTCAGCAGTACGTTAATTCCCTGTTTATCGTATACTATCTGTTCATATCTCTCTCCTTTTCCTAATATACATATGATTACAATTCAATTACAGAATAGTATTGGAAGCTTAAGATATTTTATCGTTTTTGCTTAACCACTATTAATATACGAATATTTATTACTTTGTTGTATGAATATACAGTTTTAGAAATTTGCTTAAAAAAGTATAAAATATAAAACGAGACGCATAATATTAAACTAGACTGAAATTTAAATTAAATTTACACGGACTGTTCAATTTTTTTACTTAAATATAAAAATTCACGCAATCTTTTACTTTATTGTAAAAATTCACACAAAAATATTGTTAGGCATTCTTCACTCATTTGTCTTTTACTTTAATTTTATTTAATTAAAAAAAATAATTCTTTATTACGTTTGTCAATGATTATATAGAAGCTGATAATGTAGTTATTGTCAAATTATCGAGCAAATTATTTAGACATCAAGAGATAATATTCACTGTAATTTAACTCGCCTTGGCCTCCTCACGGAATTAGGCGAACAAAGTGTAACAATCTGCTTGCATGGTGGTCGCATTCGTACCACCCGGGCCAGGGAGAAAATTATTTTCACGACAACGAAGTAATTTTGCGCAGCGTAATTTTACCCGAGGCGCGCGCGTGAACGCCGTGAAATATTTCGACGGCACGAATTAAGAAAGTTCGCTGGCGATCTTCGTTCCAGGATCCTAAGCACCCCATCCACTTCGTCGAGATAATCAAACGACCGGGACAGACCCTCGGCCTCTACATACGCGAGGGCAACGGCGTCGACAGGAACGACGGGGTCTTTATCTCTAGGATAGCTCTGGAGACCGCCGTGTACAACAGCGGCTGCTTGAAGGTGAGTATCTTCGCTCTGCCCTGCGAATTCACCCGCTGTCGCCGGGACGACGACAGTGAGAAACCGACGCGATGGAGAAAGCGAGGCGAGCGGTAAAATCGAGACACATCCGTGAATCGTCTCTTCGTCTTCTTTTTGCCAAGCGAGAACTTAATTGCCGCTGGTGCTCGGAACGAGCTCGGAGCAGCCATTTAGGATTGAGAATCTATTTCGAGGAAAAGAAAGAGAGAAGGACGCGACGGCGGGGGCCGCGAGAATACGCCGAATTAAATTTATCCTCTTACACCTTGACATTTCACGGGTCTTGGGCATCGATCAGTCTTGTATATTTGGGAGGGATATTTATCCTCTCTCTTCTCCGCGATATCGTTGCTCGTCTTTATATCGGCTATCAGTCACTATGCATTCGCACGTGCAGGTGGGCGATGAGATCCTGGCGGTGAATCTGGTCGATGTGACGCACATGAGCCTGGACGACGTCGTGATCATCATGTCGATACCGAGGCGACTCGTCCTGGCCACAAGGCACGGCCCACATCAACTTGTTTCGCATAGCCGCCAGACTGAGCACAAGGCACCGCCTGTAGTAGTCATCAAAAGGGAATTGAATGAAGATGAGAGTGACCACACGACAAGTAATCACGTCAGGTACTATCCCAGATTGATCTACTCCTTGAATTAATAATCAAAAGACATCTTGCAAATTGATTATTTCAAAATACCTGTGTGTGGATGGCTTTACTGCTGACGTCATTACGAATCTTTTTATCTTTCTTCCCTATTCATACAGAAGCTTGTTAAAACAATAAAGTGGCTTTTAATAAAAAAGCCGATATTTTATGAAGAACAATCTTCCAATTATAGTAATAGTACTGTATTAGTACTGATATTTGATATCGACCATTTAAATCTTTTCTACGCGGAGAAAAATGTAATATGCTCTATGTAATAAATTTTATGGAATAGGCAGATCCATATAGGAACACGTGCTCACTTATGTAAAATTTATTTTACTTTTTTGGTAAATGAGTAATCGTCATACACTGTAAGGTACTTTTTACATTTTATAAAGTAAATTTATAAATTATGGTACTCAGTAGAATTTATTTTAACAATAAATATTTTTCGCCTTAGCGCTGACAAAATTTACTTTACTACGCGATAAAATATGTGAGTGCGTAAAGTATTGAGAATAGTATGATTTACTGTAAGTAAAAAATCACTTAAATAGATTTATTATAATTGCAATGTACTTTTTACCTTACATCTTCTATATTTTTATTTCCTGGCAAGTAAAATTTGTCATAAGTTCGGCAAAAGTAGCCAGAATATTTTTACTAGTAGTTGTAAGTTAAAAATTACTTAACCTTTTTTCTTCATGTATATCTTTTTTTTTTAAATTAGTTAGGACAATAAGTTCTGTCATTAACAATTTCGAATAACACATGGAGATTGATGTTTCATGTGTAGGGATGGCAGTAGTCGTAGACGAGGCGACGGACGTGAAATGTTGCCGTCGCGATCAAGACTCGGTCTCACGGGTTTGGGATCGAGCCAGGATCTCGGTTCGAGCAACGGTGATCTGTACTATAATTCACGGCCAGAGGGTCACTGGTCCTATCAACCACCGCCGCCACCGGTTATCACGCACCAGCCGAAACCTTCATCGACGCAACATTTTCAGCCATACGAGCGCGGCTATCCGAAGACGTTAGAGAGCTTGGCTGAGAAAGTAAGTATTGCGTGATATTTCACGCGTCGAAATACGGAAATCCTGCGGATCGAGATCCATCAAAATGACAGAGAATATCGCTTGAAGAACAAATCATTTTTCTAATAAAATTTTCTGTTTCAAAATTAGAGAAAGGATTTTTTAATTTTGATATTTAATTGAATTAATAATTTAATAAGTATTAATATAAAATACAAAAATATTTGTTTACAAATATATATAATATAAAAAGCAAATAATTTTTATTCTTTTTTATTCATTTATAATTTTAATAAAATAATATTTTTTTACCAATGTATATATTTTTATTATTTATGATATTAAAAAATTATTTTATTTTAATTATCACAGAATATGGTGATTACATTGTTCTTTATAACACTAATTTATTTCGATATTTTCAAAATAGATGTCACTTATGAATCTCGATCCGATGTAGTTCACGCATAGATGTTCTAGACGATGTGGATCGAGCACCATTTCACACCTGTCTGCACCAATTCGATACTCGTTTGCCCTTCACTGTCTCCAATGAACGCTATTTTACGACTGAAAGAAACTGGTGAACTCGTGGCAATGTCTCGGGACACTTGCTGTCGCGATCTCCGTGTCATTCGGATTATCGGAATTAAGAAGAACAATTCGTAAAGTAACTTCTAAAAGCAAGGAAATTTAAAAAATATCAGAACCGCATATCTCGCGACAATGAAAATGCCGCTCGTATAAATACCGACTCTTTGTACATTCGTATCGGATTTCTATCTCGAAGACAAATACGCGAGAATAAATGTCGAGAAAACGAATGTCTCGACAATTTCAACGAATGCATTTCCGAACGACGCGGAGCGTCGCCGATCGGCTCGCGTATCGATCACGTGTTTCAAATGACTAATCGGTTCTATGAATGAATGCTACATTGAAATTAACCAGGATTTTACAAAGGTAAAGATAACACAAACTCTATCTTGATATCTAGACTTGTGTATGATTGCAATTTTCTGTATAATGCCTCTAATGGACGAGTATATAAATATATTCTCCCTTCCTCTCATGTATATACTTGGCGACGAACGAATGCGCGAGTGCATCCGCCCACGCGAGCCATTTTTAATTTCAATCGTTATTAAATTCTCACTTCTTAAAAAATTCAACGTAAATTCTTTCATTCTTTGCTGAAATGTGCGAGTTTTGGAATGTAAAAAAATTGAGATCGTAAAATATGGATAATTAACCCTTTTACCGTACCAATATGGATAACTAGTGACTGAGCGATTCCTGTTCGTGCAAGTTTCTTTGATTCTTTCGGTAATTATAAATTATACTACATTTTATTATTTTTCAAAATAAAGAGTCAATATTTATTTTAGAAAGTTGAAAATATGTTGGTGCATTTTTAGAGATTTTTTTGAATTATTTTGAAGAGGTGAAAAAAAGAAGAGATTCTAGTGATCTTTGATGGTATGGACGAGGCATCAAATTGTATATGGTACGGTAAGGGTTAAATATACATTTTATCAGTATATAATAAAAAAAAAGTAAGCAATTATATATCTCTTTTTCTTCAATAAGTAATCCAAGAAATCACGAAATAGAGAAATAATATATATAATAACAATTTATTAATATAATTATCAAATATTAAATATAATTAATTAAATTGTCTCTTTTTTTATTATAATCATAAAAACCATTTGAGGTTAAACACTTTGATAAAAAATTTAATAAAGAATTAATAAAAAAAGTCTTGTATTTCGCGGTAAAATAAATCATTCGGTTATAAGATGTGTGTTTAAAAGTTAATAAACGAAACGATTGCTGAGGGTGTTTAATGGTAAATGAGTGAAATGTTTAACCGTACACTCGACGGTGCACCAGTGCATTCGTTTAACGAGTTCTGCCTAGAAAAAGCGTAACACGAATTAACGGATATTTATGTGCGTTCTTAAACCGTAGAAGTCGCGTACACCTGCCGCTGTTTGCGACGTAAACCCTAACTTTATGTTTCCTTGTTGCAAGCTTGCTGTCCGTTTGTTCTTTCGATTGCGTTTTGTGCCTGTGTTCTGGATAACGTTAATCATTGTCATGGCTAGCGTTATCACGTTCGGTCGATTATCGATTGCCGGCACTTTACTCAGCATTATATTCTGTAAAGTTGTTATGAATTTTAATAATTTATCAAAGACTGCACTTAAAAATTTCAATTAACGATTATAATATTGTTAAAAAATTTATATCTATATGTAAGATTCACATTTTTCTTATAAAATTCATATTTCTCTTACAATTTTGAATTTTTATGTATTAATCTATTTTTTATCTATTTTTTATCACACAAATCATATTATAAGCATCAAATATACATTACTAACAAAAGGTAATCGATCGATCATAGGAGATGAGACATTATCGTTGTAATTGCCGTTGACGTTAGACGTTAATCTTTCTCAAGAATTTAAATCCCAAAGGTATATAATTTACAAAAATTTACAATTATTGATAATAAATTACAATTAAAGACAAAGAAAGAGAAACGAGATGTTTACGGGAGTCACGGCGATCAGCAACTTTAAGAAAATCTGTCTAAGGAACTGCCTACCTCAGTAAACATCTATGAAATGTACTCAAAGAGTTCGTGCGATCATGCGATTAGGTACACCCTTTCTACACGGGGCCCATGATGCCCTCGAATGGCCGACGTATGTCGAGTGGTGGAATGCAATCAGTCGGTGGCAGATTGCCGGGCCAAACCACGCAGTCGACCCATTACGGCTACGGCCAGCATACCGGAAGCGGAAGGATCATGCCGAGGAGTGGTTCCGACCAGCACCTACCCCGAGTCGATTACACGAGCATCACGACGCCGGCGCGACATACCCTTCTTAGATCTAGCTTGAAATCAGGTCCGTAATGAATTTACCTATCATCGAAGTATCCACTCTCTTCCTGTCTCTCTC